TAGGTGAGATATCAACATACCTAAAGCAGAAATCGAAGAACTGAGACAAAATAAAGGTCAGAAAACCAAAGGAGAAAACTCAAGCAGAGTCAGGAAAAAGCAACAGCAGGTAAGCAGGAAAAAACAGCAATGAAGAAAACCCCAGAGTAAACTTCAACTTCAGCTCAAGAACCAACTCAAGAAGACCAAGGGTTAAAAGAAAACCAAAACTTCTGAAATTTTTTGTGAGTGTCAATTCCAGAAAATTCTGTATCTTTTCTTCTTAAATGCAAAAATCAGCGTCGAAAATGAAGGGGAGATGCAAAGAGTGTTTTCAGTGTGTGAAATCTGTGTGAGTGAAGGACTATGAGACCTCTTATATCGGCAAAGGGTGAGGGAAAATTCTATTGAACGAATGCACTCTCTAAAATTTAGGAGAAAAAAGCGTCTTTTAACAGAAAATGGACAGTTGTTGGGATAGCTGCCCATTCAGATATTTACTTAAGATATTTTAGTACTTTATCTCTATTTTAGAACTTTCTTAACTACTAAACAAAAAGATTCCTTCATTTTCTTATTTCTTTTACCCCCCCCCCCCCCCCTTAAGGTTTCTGTTATTACCAATAGCCACAATCCAGAGAATTACACTTATAACGAAACTGAAATGCCAAAAACAGCTGACATTTCACAATCAATCCAGAAATTGACTAAACTTATGCAATTAGACTGATTATGCACCTAATTAAAGTATGCAAGCAAAATACTAGTTTAGACGGATTTAGGTATTAATCTGGCCCAAAAAAAAACAAAGGGACAAAAAGAAAAGAAGAAAGGTATTAATCCTAATCAGTTTCTTCAACAAAATCGTTCAATTAGCTGTTAACTAAATCATGCAAAACCAAACTTAAATCCTAAGCATCCTGACAGATTTTTCCAACAAATCGAAAATCATAGAAATCAAAGAAGAAGGAGACAAACAAAGGGCGGATTATTACCTAACTACAACAAGAAAAACTTTGACAAGTGCTTGGCCAACCACGAAGTCCGAATCTCTCCGAAATGATCCGAAAGTAACAATAATCGATTGTTCTTGGCAAGAACAATCAATTAGCATAAGTTTCGAGCCAAAACGGGTCTTGAAACTTCAACGAAAAATCAGAGAAAAAAGAAATAGATATTTTTTATATCCAAATTCGAGAACATTCGGTGGGGATTTTAGGGAAGATGACAATAGTTTGATGATGAGGGGAGGTTGAGGAGTACAGGGTGTCGATTTGGGCATGATTGGGGCCATTTGTATGGTGGCCACCGGTGGTGATTTTGTGGCGGCTAGGGTTCTGAGGGAGCGAGAGATGAGAGATGAAAGATGAGAGATGGGAGAGGGAAATGAAGGTCAATCTCTAGGTTTGGGGGGGGGGGGGGAGGGTTAGGACAGTTATATGGGTAGGGAGTGGGAGTTCCCAGCCGTTGGATCATAAGAGATCAACGGATGGGATTATTCAAGAACAAAAATGGGGTCGTTTGGATTAGTTATAAGGACTCGACCGGCCTGGGGTTTGGGTTGTGGTGGAGTTGGTGATTTTGGGCCAATGCTTTTTGCCCGTTTCAAACAAGACCAAATAAAACCTTTTTTTCTTCCTTTTCTTTTCTTTTCTTTGATTTTAAAATCTAATTAAATTAATTAAAGTCCTAAATTAAGTCCTAAATCAATCTAATTTGTAAAATTAAACTTCTTATATATTTATACTATTTACATAATTAATCAATCTTAAATCAACAAAAGAAAGTTACTAATTTAACACTAAGAGCTAAAAATGTAAGAATGAACATCATTTTTTGTGATTTTTATTTTGATTATACAATCAACTTATGTAATTGGCTTCTAAATGCAGTTAAGAACTACAAATGCTATGTAATGAATATTTGGATATTTTTGTTAATTTCTATGATTTTAAATTGTTGAAATTGCATGAAAAATACAACTAAATGCAAACAATTACCAAAAATTCCTACAAATTCTATAAAAACTAAAAAAATTTAAAAAAAACTATTTGTGAAATTTTGTAGGAATATTCTAGTCGGGCAAAAATCACATGCTCACACTGCTTGTTCAATAAATCCATACACTAATGTAATATTAAAGCTGAACCCTGCCCCTCGATGTTTGATCTCACTGTGAATTAGCTGTTCTGCCACTTTCCTTCTGTTCACCTCATATAGTTGAGGTTTTCACAAAAGCCATATCCTTCCTCCTGGGTGCTTACCTAAGTTTGTAGCGAACGACTCGTCTTGACAAAGATTAAGAGAAGCTTTCTGTGCCTTAGCTCTCTTTATATTTGTTTCCATAAATCCAAACAAGCCAACCCTTAGATTATGGATAAACGATTCATTTCTCTGTTTATCTGGCTTATTCAGACCTCTGGCATTCCAGAATCCGATCCTATCCATTAGGGTTGGGGTTTCCCCCACCCTTTCCATGTCATGGTCCTCCCTCAGCTTCACCAGTTCACCTCCTCCAGGGCGAGGGGGTATAGCTATGCCTTCATTCTTGCTTTTCTGGTCTGCTAAAGCAGCAAAAGAGTTCCTGTATTGATTTGTGGCTCTCTAATAACAATTCCTCTTCTTGCATTGCCTCTTCTGTCGTAGAAATTTTCTTTTCTAGGCATCACCATCACTTGTTTCCCTTCCCTTTGCTTGTTTTTCTCTACATCAGTTTCCTTTTTGTTCAACACTGTGCTGCTTTCTTTGTGATCTCCATTGCTTGTCTCCTCTATCCCAGTTTTTGTTTCTTCTTGCCTTGCTGGTGTCTTGTTGATTGTCTCTTCTCTGATGTGTTTTCTGCATTCCTTTAGTTCATGCCCAAATTTTTTACATTTGGTACACAATATTGGCTTCCATTAAAATTCCACATCTTGTTCCACAATGTTACCATGCTCGTTTTCAAACACAATTGTAGCTGGAAATACCTTATTAAGGGGTACTTCCACCAATACTCTAGCAAATGTCATTTGCTCCTTCATTGTAGTAGCTTTATCTGCTTTCAAGGGGTTTCCAACCAACCCTAGAATTTTTGCTAAGGCTTGTTTTCCCAATACTTCACACTCAGTCCCGAAAGTCTGATCCATACTGGTATGTTGTCCATAATCTCTTTCTTTGTTTCTATTTCTAGCTACCATGGCTTAACTATAACAGGCTTTCTGTCGAACATCTAGACTCCATCTTTTACTACTTTGGTGCGACTTTCAATTGTGTGAAATCTGACCAAAATTACTCCTCTATGTACTTGTGAAACTTTATCAATTCCCAAATCTCCCCAAATTCTGTTGGAGTATCCTTCAATGATTGTTTGAGGTGGATTTGATCCCAACACGTAGCATACTACCCCTGTTTTCCAGTACTCCACTTCCTCATGGATATCCTCAAAAGTTATTTCACATTGCTATTTATAGGTGTTTCTCGTTTCAAATCCTCTCCTTCATCCACTGGAATATTACCTACAATCTTACTCCATGATGGTCTAGCTTCTAGGGTTTGAGTCTTACCCTTTGCAGCAAATGCAATTGCTTCCTCCTGCGCCATATCAGCCCACGATCGTCTGCTTATATCACTCCGCCCCTCCACAATTTCATTATGTGTCTTCGCTGGTGTTGCTGTTGGCCTTGAAGTTGCCGATACTTGATCCATATCTAATGGTACAATTCCATGAATAGCGTTCAAACGTCTCACTTTCTTCGAATCTTCTGTCTCAGGAACACCTTTTCCTCCTTGATTTTGGCTAGGATTTACCACTTGAGTGCTTTGCCCTCTCGCTCCAATTTTCGATTTCCTACCCATGTTCAGCGTTAGTTGAGAGGAAATTTCATTCTAGAGAGAGAAAGTTGGTTTTTTATGGCATGTATTTACGCTATTAGATGATCTAAAAAATAATTACAGGTAGCTAATAAATACATGAAATAAATAACTTGAAAAGAAAGACAAATAATCTGTTACATCAAATTAAATTCTATTAATAGCGTAAAATAAGTTTTAGACGTCAACGTATATAAATTAAATCCAATAATTATTTTTTCTCTTTCTGAGCTCTTCAAGAGAGTCCTGAGGAAAGAAAAGAAGGGTGAAGAAAGTGGTAGAAAATGTGGAAATTATTTTCAATTTCAAATATCCTATATATCAAGACTAGGTATTTATTTATCTTTGTAATTGTATAATTGTACTGAGTTGTATAATTGTGTGCTGAGTCAGTGTTAGTTAGCGTTAATACACAGATGGGTTAGTTAGTGAGAATGTCACATGTATAGTTGTATAATTGTGTGCTGAGTCAGCATTAGTTAGTATTAGTTAGCGTTAATACACAGATGGGTTAGTTAGTGAGAATGTCATATGTATATATATACTGAACAGTATCGAGTACATTGAATAATAGATTTATTTTTCACATTTTATCGGATTCTTCAGCATTTCTCTTTCTTTCTCTACGAGCTTCTTTTAGAAGCTTCAGAATCCTTCATTGAAGGAGGTGTGGAGCTCGATTCTCATCTAAAATCTCGACATGGTATCAGAGCGGAGCTTCTATTGACGACCACGCCTTCTCTCGTTCAGTTGTTTCTAATCACTAAGCAATCTAGGGTTTTTCCTTCATCAGTCAGAATTTGGGGAAAACCTAAATCGAACACACGCAGTGACGATTTGTTGACAAATAGAAGAAATCTCAACAACACGAGGATCAATTCAACTGTTTTCACAAAATCCCTATGGCAATCACAGAGTAGACTGATGAAACAGCCACGACCGCGACAACACAGACGGTAATTGATGCTGGTAGCCCTCTCTACATACGTCCTTCTGATAGTCCTGGTTCTACACTAGTTCCGGTTCCATTCGATGGAATTGGATATCGTTCCTAGAGAAGAAGTGTACTCAGAGCTCTTTCAGTGAAAAACAAGTTAGGTTTCATCAACGGAGATAGTAGAAGACCTAATGTAACATCTCCACATTTTCGTCAATGGGAAAGGTACGACGATATGGTCACCTCTTGGATCTTAAATTCTCTGTCAAAGGACATCACTGACAGTGTCGAATATGTGAATGATTCTGTTGAATTGTGGAAAGAATTGGAGGATCGATATGATCAAACAAACGGAGCTAAACTGTATCAAATTCAGAAAGAGATCAATGATTTGAGTCGGGGTGTGTTTGATATCATTGGGTACTACACAAAAATGAAGAAAATCTGGGAAGAATTGAACACTCTCAGTGTCAAAACTCATTGTAGTTGTGTGTGTACCTATGGCGCGAAGGAAAGTATGCATAAGGCAGAACAAGACAGAAGTTTGATATAATTCCTAATAGGACTCAATGAAGTTTACACGGTTTTTTGGGGAAGCATACTCATGATGAATCCTTTGTCGTCTATGGCATAGGCATTTGCTCTTCTGATACATGAGGAAAAGCAAAGGGAATTTAAGCCAAGAAACCAACTAAATATCGATTCCACAGCATTGAATGTCATCCTAGGAGGAAGAAACTTCAAGACAAACTACTCAGCTGGGACTGGAAATGAAATTACAAATAGTAGACCCCGACCTTTCTGTGGCTATTGCAAAGGACAAGATCACACTAAAGACAAGTGCTATAAGCTGCATGGATACCCTCAGGGATTCATTCAAGGACCACAACAGTGCAAGCAAATTTCTCAAGGATATAACAACAATATAAGTTCAACAAAGGAAAGAATGCCATGGCTAATTAAGTCACAAATGTGGAAAGAGGAGAAGAATTGAATCATCAAGAAGAAAATCAAGGCATGAGCCTCTCAAAGGAACAATACGGGCAGATTGTTAACTTGTTGCAGCATTTTCAAATGGGAAATACTGGAGAGAATGCAGCAAGTGCAAACATGTCTAGTGGAGCGTCAATGAACTTTGCAGGTATGATTGCTTGCACTTCTTCAATTAATTTTGATAATCCATCATGCAAGTGTTTTAGTGCAAAAGCTGACTTATGGATATTACATTCCGAGGCATCACACCATATGACTTTTAACAAAACTCACCAACAAAACATAGTAAGCCTACCATATCCTTTGTTAGTTAAATTTCCAAATGGTAACAAAGTCAAGGTAACTAAAATTGGAAATGTATTCATGATACCTAAGATTGTTCTGTATAGAGTCTTGTTATTCCATCTTGCAAATTTAACCTAGTGTCTATCAGTTCCCTAGCAATACATCTCAAATGCATTGCATCATTCTCTAACACTTCCTGTCTACTGCAGGCCCCTTCACTGAAGAGGCCTCTGGAGATTGGTAAGTTGTATGATGGGCTGTACTTCCTTTGTTCTAAGTGCTTGAAGAAAGGTAGTCTCACACCTGAGAAAGATTGTGATCTTCCTTGTTTTTCCATTCATGCTGATGATGTAAATACTATACACTGTCTATCCCAATCTTACAATTCATTTCCTATTGTAAATAATTCCATCTGCAACAGTAATAATAAAGACAGTGTTCCTAGTTTGCATTCCAATACATCTCTTAGTGATAATGTAGACCTGTTGTTGCATTTAAGACTTGGTATGTACCCTTTAGTAAAATGAAAGGAATTCATACTATCCCTGTAACCTTTTCTGCCAAACAACCCTTCATGTGCAACATTTGTCCTATGGCCAAACAGTCCAGATTACCTTTTCCCCAGAGAACAACTGAGACAACTTAAAACATTAAAATACTCCATGTGGATTTGTGGGGCCCCTATTATGTGGCCACACACAATAATTTCAGATACTTCCTTACTCTGGTAGATGATTATAGTAGATCCATTTGGACACATCTCTTGAGTTGCAAAAGCAACGCCCTACAAGTAATAAAGGCTTTTGTGAGCATGGTGGAAAACCAATTCCAAACCACTATCAAATGTATAAGGTCTGATAATGGTCTAGAGTTCACCAGCAATGAAGCAACCTCTTTCTTTCAATCAAAGGGAATAAACCACCATAAGACATGTCCTTACACACCACAACAAAAGGGAGTGGTGGAAAGAAAATATAAATATCTTCTTGAAGTGGCTAGGGCACTACTTTTACAATCCAAGATACCATTGAAATATTGGGGAGAGTGCATACTCACAGCAACCTTCCTCATTAATAGACTTCCAACTACTCCTCTAAAGAATAAGTGTCCTTTTGACTCTTGTACAAGAAAAAGCCCAATTATTCTCACTTGAGAAGTTTTGGATGCTTGTGTTATCCCACTGTACCAAAGCCTCTCAGAGATAAATTTGAACCAAGAACTACCCCACATGTCTTTGTAGGATATCCTTTTGGCACAAAGGGGTACAAGGTGCTAAGTCTAGCTAAGAAAATACATATCTCTAGAGATGTTTCCTTCTATGAGTCAATCTTTCCATTCACTTTCAACTCTACTGTAAACAACATTCCACCTGTCTTCCTAATGCACCATTCACGGATAATCCATCTGATCATACTGATGTTTGTATCTCCCACAACATCAATGATCAGGAGAACACTAACTTCCTATGTCCTGATTTATTATGAGGCACTTCTTCACCCATCTCTTCCTCAATGAGACACAGGTTCCAGCAGAACACATTCAAGACATAACTGCCCCTCAACAGTCACTGGAGGAACCACTGGTTTCTAGAAGGTCTCATAGGGAACATAAATTGCCTTCACATCTAAATGACTATGTTTGCAATATACCAAACCTAAAATGTAATTCTAACTTCTCTTTACATGCCATGTTTTCCCATAATAACCATGTTACTTCTGATGCCCTACATCTTAATAGTCAGCACATTGTAAAGAATATTTGCAATGATAGAGAACCAACTTCATATGAAGAAGCAGCTATGTACCCTGCTTGGCAGAGTGCCATGACACAAGAATTTGAATCATTATATTCTAATAACACATGGGATTTAGTCCCCTTACCTAAAGGAAAACAAGTTATTGGGTGTAGATGGGTGTATAAAGTCAAACATAGAGCAGATGGTAGTGTAGAAAGATACAAAGCAAGGTTAGTGGTAAAAGGGTATACTCAACAAGTTGGTGTAGACTACACAAAGACTTTTTCTCCTGTGTTCAAGATGACCACTGTCAGGTCTCTCATTGCCATAGTAGCAAAGAAGAAATGGCAAATCTCACAACTGGATGTGAACAATGCATTTCTCCATGGAGATTTGCATGAGGAGGTGTATATGCAAGTTCCTCCAGGCCTTGAGGTACAATCTCCTGGTTTAGTTTGCAAGTTGAACAAGTCTCTTTATAGACTGAAACAGTCAAGCAGACAATGGTATGACAAATTGCTGAAGTCCTGTATTCAAGGAGGTATACACTCTATGCATGACTATTCTTTATTCCACAGAAAATAGGGGTCTTCTATTGTTTTTGTAGCAGTGTATGTAGATGATGTGTTGCTCACAGGGACTGAGTCTGAAGAGATCAATCATCTTAAGGCCTTTCTACATGACAAGTTAAAAATTAAAGACTTAGGACAGTTGCATTATTTCCTGGGATAAGAAATCCTTTATAAATCAGATGGCATCATCATTTCACAAAGAAAATTTGTTTTGGACTTGTTGAAGGAATATGAGTGCCTTCATTCTCCAGCCTTGACTTCTCCCCTGGATCCTACAATAAAGTTGAAGGCAAAAGAGGGGGCTTCATTGTCTGATCCTACCTTCTACAGAAAGCTAGTTAGAAAATTAAACTTCCTCACTAGCACTAGACTAGACATAGCATATGGAGTCCAACATCTCAGTCAATTTATGCAAGATCCTAGGGAGCCCCACCTACAGGAAGCCTACCATATGTTGAGGTACTTAAAGAAGGATCTTACACTAGGACTATATTTCAGCAATGCAGATGATCTCTCACTAGTTGCCTATTATGACTCTGATTGGGCAGCTTGCCCGGATTCTAGAAGATCAGTGTCTGGCTATGTTGTGTTCTTAGGTGGCAGCCTCATCAGTTGGAAATCCAAGAAGCAAGAAACCATATCTCTCTCTTCAGCAGAAGCAGAATACAGGGCCATTAGAAAAGTTGTTGGGGAACTTGTTTGGCTGACAAGACTGCTTGAAGAACTTACTGTGTCAATTTGTTTGCCAATACCTGTGCACTGTGACAGCCTCTCTGCCCTACATATTGCTAGGAACCCTGTGTTTCATGAATGGACTATGCACATTAAAGTAGATTGTCATTTTGTGCGTACAAAACTTCACGAAGGACTCATCTCTTTGCACCATATTGGCACTGGCCAGCAACTGGCAGATGTACTTATCAAAGCTTTCACTGTGATCAAACACTGCTCTGTTCTTGGCAAGTTGGGTGTGATTTCCTCACATCCAACTTGAGTGGGGAGACTAAGTATTTATTTTATCTTTGTAATTGTATAATTGTACCGAGTTGTATAATTGTGTGCTGAGTCAGCATTAGTTAGTATTAGTTAGCGTTAATACACAGATGGGTTAGTTAGTGAGAATGTCACATGTATATATATATATATATTGAGCAGTATCCGGTCATTGAATAATAGATTCATTTTTCACATTTTATCGGATTCTTCGGCATTTCTCTTTCTCTCTCTACGAGCTTCTTCTAGAAGCTTCAGAATCCTCAATTGAAGGAGGTGTGGAGCTCGATTCTCATCTGAAATCTCGACACTATATATTGGAACGCAATGTATATATGATAAATAATATAGAATAAGGGAGTCTATAAAACAGTTTGTCGGGGAGATAAGATAAGGTGGTGCAACTGTGATAATGCAAAGTAAAATTTCTAAAGAATCAAGCCAACAACACAATCTTTCTATCCTGGCTTCTTTTTATCCAATCCAATCGAACCGTTTCTTGCAGAGAACATGTCTCTTTATTCATGTCGTTTTTGATAAAGTATAGTATTAATATTTTATACTTACATTTTTAGTGCTTGGAGAGAGAAAAGTGATAACAAAATAGAGATATGTATGATGGGTTTCAGGGAGGGTGGAGGGGGGGAGATGTTCCAACCAATATAAAAGTTATTTAAAAGTTAACCACATATAAATAATGCTAGTAATTATTAATGTAAATAAATTTAAAAATTTATGATATATAATCTACTACAACCGATTAAAGTACTACATTAATTGTATAAGAATTTTTTACACTATTACTAGTATATACAAAACTTTAATAACATCCAAATTGAATGTTCAAGTACAACGGCAAATTAAGTTCATAGACTAGAGTTGTAACTCTTTGTTAATATAGCTTTAATTTCGGTTTCAAGATAGTTATTAAATGTTGGTGGGGAGAGAATTGAATTGAGTTTTGTCGTTTACTATAATAATAAATTAATCAGCATTTGACATTTTCTGATAGGTCTCCTTCTTAGGTTATAAAAACACGTACTCCCATTCCATATATTCCCGTTAGATGTCGCCATCTTAATCTGTAGTGATAAGGAAAACAATGAGCCAAGAACAATTTACATTATGAACCTAGTATAGTAGTAAATTATGGCGGTATTAAATGATGTATTTTTACCATTGAGAACTATATTTCTTCTTCCGAAACTACTTTCAAGTTCTCCTCCTTATGGATTTAAGTGTAAGGACTTTTTACACCAACAAGTCATATTTATGTAGTGTAACAATTAGCATATCTTATTCTTATCATAACCGAGCTATAATTGGTGGGCAGGTCCCTATTAGACAGTTTCTGATTAAATAATAAGTTATATACTGAGCCTATTGTGGCCGAGTGCCAATGAGCGAACCAGAATG